CCCACCCACCCCCAACCCTGAATATTAATTGGGGACCTTTAGATTGGACGACGAGTACGAGACTGAGTGCGAGTACGATTTTCGATTTTCAAACCAGTGACGTTTTAGTTTTAGGTGGAGAGGGTAGCTCATGGGATGAAATGGGTATGTGATTTATTAGTGTGAAGCCTGCAAGCTAGAATTGAATTGTCGTTCTCGTACTTGATCTCGTACTCAAATCTAAAGTCCCCCATTATTTATTAAATTTTAAAGAATTGTGTTGAAGACTATCATCACATGATCTGAAATAGGCCAAGAAACAGATTAGCTAAAGAAATCTACTCCATTTCAAGCCAGGTGGAATCAAGTCCGTTTTCTGCTCGAAATATGACGTTTCCGTACGTGATATGTTCGCGAAATTTTGTGATTGGTCAATTAGAATCGGAAGTCCTTCGGGCACGAAACGAAGTGTGGCGAAAGTACTTCTGACTCTGCTCTGTTCCATTCTCGTTCCTTCGCTGTTTAGACTATTCGTTTTACAATTTTCGCTGCTCGTGTAACGGGTGAAAATTTTTCCAAACAATCATCAGAGGCAACAGAGAGGTTATAAACACTTCGTTTGCTAATCTGCCTGTGCTGGGAAAAAGAATTCACCAATAATACAAATTGCCAAAAACTAACAAATATTTTCTACCGTTATAGAATTGTAATCCAAAAATAAGGATTTATATCGCGAATTATAATCCATTAAAATATTTTCGCGCGCGCATGATTGGTCTAAACGCGTCACGTGACTGGATATTCCCCGGGTGATATTCCCCAATTTTCAAAACTGCGCGTGTTGCGAAAGATATTTGAAGGATAATAAACACAAGAGGCTCCATTTGGCGCGAACATATGCGCGGATATTTGTCCTTGGATATTATCTGTTCCTGGAAGCTCACATTTCTCCTTGAGCTACGCTCTCGGAACTGTTTGCTTCTCGGAACAGATAATGTCCGCGGACAAATATCCAAGCATATTTCCGCGCAAAATGGAGGCTATTGTTTATTTATGATACAGTTTGAATTCTGCGCACTTTTTCTGATACGCTAAACTATGTTTTATCAGGGTATAAACACAGAAAAGCGTGTTTAATTAAGAAGCCTAAACCATTCATTATGCGAAAAAAAA